TTTGTTCCATAGTAGTTATGAGCCTGAACTTGCTTATAGTAATTCGGAAATTAGTGCACATGAGTGAAAAAAAAAATACAGCACAGAAGAATGTCTAATTTAGCGTGAGATTTCTTTGTTGAGCGTGAGACCGTGAGATTGAGGCTGAATGCGTGAGTGTCACGCCAGATGCGTGAGAGTTGGCAACCCTGATTTTGAAGTAATTGTAGCTATGTGTATTTGTTCGAGCGCTATAAAGAGAATTCAATATTCTAACTAGGCCGACAGGCGGTGACACGCAGTCAGTCAGTCAGTCAGTCAAACACACACACACACTTGCAGTCAGAGACAGACTGTTACTCGACTGGCTGAAATTAGTTCTCTTTCACGGTATACTGCGCTATCATACTTTTTGTTATGTCATTCAATCATGTTAAACGCGTTAATAAGTTTGCCGTACTGCCCAATGAAAATCTGGGCGCTTACCGGTATGTGAGAGGGCAGGAGAGACGCTTTTTCTTTCGCCATGTTTGACAGACCGCTCACAGACATCACGCGTGCGCAACATCTGTACCCACGTAAAAATGCATTGAAACTTTAATTAACTAGAGATATTTCAATTGGGTGATTATAATTTAATGTTTTGTGAGGTCTTTTTTTTTTTTTTTTTTTTTTTTTTTTTGCGGTTAAATTAGGAATTATGCAGGATCGCAAAAAAATGCGACATTTTGTTGATTTTGCGTTGTATTCAGCGATCGCAGAATCGCGAAAAACTGGAGGGACTGAATAACATTATAACTTTCAACACACATTTAAATGTTCAAAAACAGGAATGTTTGCACTCATCCATAAACATTATTAGATCCATCAGCTTGACACCAAGTCCCATCATTCAGCTCATCACTGCGTTATAAACCTACGCCTTTGTTATTGTTGGAAACTGCGCCCTCTTGTGGCGAAGAAATCTTACATATTGTGCCTTTAATAATGAATCATGATTTGTTTGTGAAAACATTTGTACATATATTTCACACACGAATCAAAAAATGTGTACCAATGATAATTAACAAAATATAGTCTATGGTAATGAACATTTTGGGGAAGGTGTAGTTTAATTGTCAAGAAAAATATCAATGAAAAAAAAATTATTTCCGAAATGTCCAAATAGATTTACATTTCTTTACATTTATTTATTCAGAATAATTTTTCATTTGATTTTAAAATGGCTTAAATGATGACCTAGACATGTTTTTGTGAGATTCACGGACCCATTCATAGCTAAAATATATAATTTAAATTTTATTCAAATTTGAATAATTCCGTAGGTTAATGGGAAATATCACAAGTCAATGTTGGCGCTGTACTTTTTGTTATCGTAAGCACTAGGCAGATGTGTTTCTGAGTCAGTCTGGTGTGATGTTGATACCATGGCAGTAACTCGTGTAAAGAAGGCTGGGTTGTTTGACGGGTTTGGCTTCCAGTGAGCTGATTGGAGCAGGATATTATCAGAAAGCACACACACACACACGTTCAGATCAGATTGAGTGTTGTGCATGTTTCCTTTTGCACATTTGAGCAAGGTAAGCAATACAAACACAGAGCTTGAATTGTGATGTAAATTGACTTCTTGTTATTATTAATGTATTGAAATATTGTTTTAATGCTTAAATATTATAAACCTGGTAAACCTAAGCCTTAAGAGAGCAGTTTAATGAAAATTTCATAATTTACATTATCATTAACGTGTCAGCTGCTTTAATGTTTAATTTGCTAACATTAGTTAACACATGAACTAAGAATGAACAATACTTCTACAGCATTTATTAATCTTAATGTTAATTTCAACATTTACTAATACATTATTCAAATCAAAAGTTGTAATTGTTAACATTACTTAATACACTGTGAACTAACATGAATGGACAATAAACAGCTGGACTTTTCTACTTTGAAGTGCCATGGGAAGTCAAACTAACTTCATTTAACATTTTCTTATATTCAAATAGTTTATTTCCTACTTTTTAACAATTCATCAGGCTCTTAAAGGGATAGTTCACTTCAAAATGAAGATTCTGTCATCATTTACTCGCCCTCAAGTTGTTTCAAACCTGTATGAATTTCTTTCTTTTGCTGAACACAAAGGAAGATAATTATTTTGAAGAATGTCAGTAACTTTAAAATATCTTGTTTTGTGTTCAACAGAACAAAGAAACTCATACATGATACAGGTTTGCAACAACTTTGGCTTGGAATATATGTAGGTCTGGTTTTTCCTGTCAGTCATCATAAGAACAGAACACATTTTACACATTTTACTGAATGTTGTCTTTTCTAATCTATCCAGCTTATTTTTCAATGCGAAAGTAAGCTATTTTCTGTGAATGTGCGAGACTTCCGGTTCATTAGCCGCTATATTGAAATAATGAGAAGGATAACATAGTGCATGGTAAAACTTTTTGCTCTACAAACTAGTGTGTTTACAATTATGATAATACATTTAAATAATAGGGTTAGAAATACCAATTTAAAAAATCAAGCAGCGTAACACGCTTTTTTTGTACAAGTAGAAATAACTGGAAGTGGATAACACCGGAAGCCAGACACATTTCATTTACAAATGGCCGCGCACACTCTGGATGCCATGCGTTATGAGAAATATAAAAGTGGACACAAAGTGGAAAAAATCTATTCCCTTAACAGATCATCTATTAGAAAGTCTAGTTAGTTAAAATTTACCTCAATAAATAGAATAAAACGTGACAAATTCTAGTAAGGATGGTCATGAGTACGTAGTTTAAAAAACTTTCTAATTTATCTTGGTCCAAGATGATGTTTTCCTCTTTTCATCTGTTTTTTTAGTTTACGTTGCTGTTTTAGATCATTTGCCTTTCTTCATTGCGTTTTAAAATAGAAAATTCTCAATAGAATTCAAATGGGTTGTGCATTTTATCATTGGCGTCCGGATAGGAACGGCTCACGCAAATCGAATCACATTTTTGGAGCTCGCTGGTGAAATCTTGCACAGTATGCGGTGATTCGCTCACCATTTGTGCAAAATTAAAGGGATAGTTCACTTTGAAATAATTTTTTGTTATGTTTTAGCTTACCTCAAGGGCATCCAAGATGTAGGTGTCTTTGTTTCCGCAGTAATTTCAATTTTGATATTTTATTTTCAATTTCGGTTTTACCTCTTGTAACCACAGCCACGTCCAAGTGATCTGAGGGCGCCGGCGCTTCAAGAGGTAAAAACTATATAAATACTGTTCGTTTTCTCACACAAACCGCTCGTTTCGTGTCTTAGGCCATCAATGTGTACTTGCATTTACGAGTCATTAAATCATGTTTAATTTGGACTTCTCTGTGCATGCTCTTTGAGGTGGTGACCATAGACCTGCATTATATGACTGACAGACAAGAACGGTTTGACCTAAAAATATCAAAATTGAAACTACTGCGGAAACAAAGACACCTACATCTTGGATGCCCTTGAGGTAAGCTAAAACATATCAAAAATGTATTTCAAAGTGAACTATCCCTTTAAATAAACTGGGCTTTTTTAGTCAAATTGCTGCGATAATTGGTCCATTCAGTTCGGAGGGGAACTTGGGTTTCATTCACACTGACTACGTTTACATGCAGCCAATAACCCGTTCAAAACCGGGATATTAGCAATAACCCGGTCGCGAACGGCCATGTAAACACCTGCAAAAACCCGAATATGCGTATATCCCGGATTTTAAAAACCGGGATATGATACCTGGGGTACCCCTTTTCTAACCCGAATTTTTGGTCATGTAAACGCGCATCGGCATATCCCCATAGTGATTTGTGTTCTGCGCATGTTCTATTCGCAAGGAATCTTGGTCTTTTGAGTAGAGGAACTTCTCGGCGCATACAAAACCCCGCGTGCAGTATACCGGAAGTAAACATGGCGAGACGCAGCACAGCATACTTTTGGAGCGAGGTCAGTACCAGCACCAAAGCGCAAACAAAGGCGATCGCTATCTGCCCCGAACTATTCATTATCCGCGTGCTGCTGCTGTTGTTGTTGTCTTTGGATACAGGAAGAAGAATCGGAAATGACGCATATTGCGTCTTAAGGTTGTCCGTACGTCTTGACGCTAACCGTGCGTCGCCGTTTACATCGGGATATTGCAATTCCATGTATACTGGAGAAACTCTCTCTGCTCGCGCATGTAAACGGGTTATTCCTAATGTTTCAGAAACCCGAATAGTGACCTTAACCCGACCATAACCCGAAAAATGGCTGCATGTAAACGTAGTCACTGTCAGTCCAAATCCGATTATTTGTGTATCCGATTGGAATCCGATCAGATTTAGCAAGTGTGAACAGCAAAAAATCATGTTGTAAATAAGACATCTGGTTTGCAAGCCCCTCCATGTTGCGGTTGTTGTTGTTGTTGTTGGCGTATGCCGTAGTGGTGCCATAGAAACCAATGCAGATATTCTGGTAAACTAAAGTGCCACAGGACACACAAATCGGATCTGAACAGTTGCTATACACAGTGTGGACAATCACAAATAATCTGATTTGGACTGACAGTGTGAACATTGAGTATTGGGGAGGTTACCTCCTCCCCGGAAACACGGCACAATACAGGATCTGTAATTTTCCACTGTCGTAGTAATTAAAATGTCCTTAGTGAAATGACTCCTCTGAAACTCGTTAGCTGCGTTCAGAGCTAATGAGCTGTTGTGCTTCAGTCCTGTTGGAACATGTTGAGACAGGATTTCGACATTAAGAAGTCACTACACTACCGGACAAAAGTTTGGAATAATTAACTTTTTTATAAATATATATGTTTTTGAACATATTTGCAACCTCACCACTAGATGCCAATAAAATTACACACTGCACCTTTCAAATGTAATTTACTCCTATGATGGAAAGCTGAACTTTCAGCATCATTACTCCAGTCTTCAGTGTCAAAGTGAATTTCTTCTTGGATATTTCTGAAAGCCTCTTTCTTTCTTCCTCTCTGTCTGTGGTGTGTTTGCAGCGATGGCTGGACCGCGGCCTGTGGTGATGAGCGGACCCTCCGGGGCTGGGAAAAGCACTCTGCTAAAGAAACTGCTCAAGGAGTTCGATGGTGTATTTGGCTTCAGCGTATCCCGTAAGTCACTTACTATAATATGTGACAGAAGTACAAATGCTGATAGTCAACTATGCTGCTTTCTAAAAATCAGCACCAGAAATGCTTTGAACAACTAAGAACGTCAGTGGAGAAAGGCATATAGTTCATCATAACATCGTAATATACATCATATACACAATTCACCCGCTATATTGCTAAATGTACAAGATTTGTCATAACACAAAAATATACCTTGATAATCTGGCTCTCTTGAGACTCAGAAATGGTGTTGACTTATGAATTTACACATGGTTTGTCTGAAAGCATATTAAAAACACCACATAGACATTGAAAACTTGACTTTCACCACAGGAGGACTTTCAATTTTCTTAATTAAGATTGGTCTTTTTCCAGATACAACGCGAAACCCCCGTCCAGGAGAGGAGAACGGCAAAGGTTAGGCTTTTGATCTCGAGTGGTAAAAAAGAGAACAATGTTTTTCTGAAAATATCTTTTGCATTATCCTCAAAACCCAAAACAAAATTTAACTACAAGCCTTGTTATTATAAAACATAATGTTCATTACATAAATATCTAGTTATTTCAGTTGGTAGTCAAGCTGAATCAAATGTAAGTGCCCCTATTATGCTTTTTCAAATATAACCTCTCATGCAGTGTGTAATAAAGCTGTTTGTGAATGTAAACTGTCTGCAGAGTTGTAAAGTCGAAAGGGGACGATAAATAGTTATTGTCTCCCAAAAGAAAGCTTCGACTCTGAACCGCCTAAACGAGTCGTCAGGAATCCCAGTCTCACTTCCGCGACCTGCATGCGTAACGCAGTAACACGTTTGCATAATGCCCGTCTATGGTGTTCATTGGCTGCTAATCTGACCCTCCTCAAACACTGTAGCTGTGTTGTGTACATGTCGAGAAGACGATGTTTTCTGCTCTACAGAAGCACATTCTCTTTGTAAACACTTCCAAAGGATGAGGATGTGAAGAGTCAGTGGTTAAAATGACCACAGCGATACAACAGTATAACCAATGCTTCTCAAATCTCCACGAGGTCTAATTGTGATTTACAAAACGCATTAAAGATGGGACAGTACCCACTTTCATTGGACCAATTTGCTCCTCAGAATCACAACCTGTAAGAATGATTAACTATTGATGTATGTATTTTCTACCGGGTGTTCAAAATACGTAGTTTTGTGCTTTATATTGTGTAGGTCTCCTGCTAACTGGCTAAATCATGTTAATTGGCCCACAGCTGATTAGCAGAAGTATTTCAGTAAGACAGTGAGTCTTACTGAAATACTTCTGCTAATCAGCTGTGGGCCACTATTACCTAAAACTGTGAGTAAAGATAGACAATCTGCATTAAGAGACAAAGTAGTGAGAACGACAAAGGATGGAGCAAGATTTGCTTTAATGTTACATCAGTTATTCATGTTAGACCTCGGCTGTTATTGATTCAGTAAATAAGCACGTTCACCGTAAATGAGAAAAATACACATTGGTTTGTTGATGGACATACACTCGTTATGCTGATGGTGAGGAATTACAGCTGCAACATTTGCAACAATTACCAGAAAACTGAGTAGCTCCTGCTCGAGTCGTCCTTGCGATGGAGGTTCGGGTTGAATGTTTCATCATCGGCCTCGCGCTTGGATTGCTAACATAAAATCGACGCCATCGTTACGGTCTTTACAGTTCAATCGCTGAGCTTTAGGAAGCCTCCGGAGCTGAAGTTAATGGCAACAGCCGTTTCGTTTCTGACTCGCTGTAAGCGGTCGACCAATCACGACAGACTGGTCCATCTGGCCAATCAGAGCAGAGTAGCTCTCGGAAACGAGGGATTTAAAGAGACTGAAGCATCAGACGAGTCGTTTGAGAATCATTGAAAATGTGGTGATGTGAAATTATATTATGAGAAAATGAAAGTTTTTTTACATTTGATGCATTGTAAACCTGTTGTAGGAGACTCCAAAACAACATATTTTTTGAAAGTCAGTCGATGAGGGACGCATCTTCTGAAAAAATCTTCTTTTTCTTTCAGATTATCATTACGTTACCAGGGAAGTTATGCAGGCAGCAGTAGCAAATGGAGAGTTTGTTGAAAATGCCGAATTTTCAGGGAACATGTACGGAACAAGGTACGGCCCTTTTGGAAAGTCTTGTTTGAAGGGACATTTAACTGACATCTTTCTTTTGAAACCACTGATACAATCCCACTGATAAGTGCTTGTTCTTATTGAATGGTCTAGAACTTAACACGCTTGTCCTCATATTCAAACTTTAGAAATATGTACGCAGAAGTATTTCTGTAATTCTAACTAACCTCACTTTTGCCCTCTTCACAGTAAAGCAGCTGTACAGGCTGTTCAGGCCAAAAATTTGATTTGCATTTTGGACATTGACATGCAGGGAGTGAAGAACATCAAGAGGACCAATCTCAACCCCATCTATGTGTCCATCCAGGCCCCGTCAATGGACATCCTGGTAAGAAATACTTTAAATGAGCGCTCTCTCTCCAAATATTATGTTTACATGTCTTCGTTTTAATCTCAATTGTATAACTTTATTTTAGGAAAAAAGATTAAGGGATAGAAAAACTGAATCTGAGGAAAGTCTACAGAAACGTTTACATGCAGCCAAAGTGGACGTGGAAATAAGTAGGTATCCGTTCCTATACTAATCATTTGTAATAAAATGCTGCAATTTTTTCACATCTAGAATAGCATGCTAACCGTTATTTATCCATCTTTCAGGTAAAGAGCCTGGATTATTTGATGTGATCATTATCAATGATGATCTTGACACAGCATATGGGAAATTAAAAGATACTCTTCTCGAGGTAAAATTTTCCAGTCTAAATGTTTTGACGGTCACGGTACGAACATTTTCACAAATATTTCACAGTATTAGGGTGCATTGCTAATAACTATTTGAATAATATAATTTTTAGTAGACCCTCGTCTGATCAACACACAGGGCCCTATCATACAGCCGGTGCAATGGGGCGTCTGGGGCGACACAAGTGTTTTTTGCTAGTTTCAGCCCAACGCAATTATCATTTTCACGTCCTGCGCCACGTTGTTTAAATGGCAAATTATTTGTGCCCATTGGGCTTCTGGTCTGAAAAGGAGGTGAGTTCCGGTGTGTTCAGGCGCATTGTTGGCGCGTTGCTATTTTGATCTGACTGAAATAGACTGAGCCATTGACCAACTGAAACCTGGTCTAAAGTCAATGGCGCAATATTTTTTTTGTTATTTAAAGAGCGCGCGTACACTTTGTCCCGTAGATCGTCTGGTCACGTGATTTAACCTCGCGCACGAGCAGATCCGTTTCCTCGCTAGAGAAGCGTTGTTTTTCCGCTTGCAAATTCCGTCATGTAAATAGCAAATCCACCATGGCACGAGCGCAACTGGCTTTTAAAGAGAATGGGAGATGAGACTCTGGATGATGCGACGGCAGCCATATTGCGCCAGAACGCCCACCACATACCAGCTTATTGGTGGAGAGGAGTATATTTGGTACCCGCTGATACCCGCTTTCTAACTCTCACAATCGTGTTTGTTTCTCTGAGCCTCAAAGGTTTCTATTTACAGCGTGTTTTACATGCGTTAAAAAAAAGTCTCGTAGCCAATCACAATCATATCTGTTGAGCGCATGAGTGATTATAAAGGGGGAGGCTCTGCTCTTGCTTTCTGTTGATTACACCCATTCACAATCTGAAGTTTTTCACATTGTAAAGTTTCTGGATTGACAACTGTATTTAAATATGCGATTGAATCGGAAACTGAAATGATTGACAGTGATGATAACCAATGGACGAGTCAAAATGCGACAATTATTTTTAAGTACTTAATTTAACTTAAGTATTTGCTCTGGTACTGAAATTTGTACTGAGAACCTTTACTGATTACTGTAATGTTGGTACCGTGACAACCCTAGTACTTTCTATCTTCTGTGTTTTGTAACTACATCACCTTAAATGAAAGTGTTCCCGTGGTTCCTGCTGCCGTCTTCGAGGCTGCTCTGATTAGTCCCGTCTATAACGGCCACCCAAACCCTAACCACACTGGGACTGGGGGATTCTGGGTTGACTGACAGTTAAATGAATGGAGAATTTAGACATTTTTGAACATAATTGAATGTATAATAATGAAAATCTAATACATAGACACCACCTGTACTTAAAATCCCAGAGTACTGCAAAATCGCCATACCGTTACATCCTTTCACCTCCTATTATTTACAAATCTCTCTCGTGTCTTCCCTCATCTGTATAACACCTAGTTTTATCTTTGAAGTCTCATGTGAAAATATTTCACTTCCACTCAAGTCTTCTCTTCCTTTAACAGGAAATCCAAAAGGTCAGAGACACCAACAAATCCTAGAAGAGAACACACTTGCCAACAACAGCGACCTCTCTATTCTCTTCCAGCTTATAAAGTTTTCAGATCGGAACATTCCACCCAGGGAAGACTTTATGAATTTCGGTCAATACTCCAACAAAGCTGAATGTAACGCATATTCATGACTAAAAGGTGCAGACTAATATATTCCATGTTCTGTATATTATTTTGACCAAGTATGTTACTTACTTTCAGGGCTAAAGCTAAAAAACATGTATGATTCAACCAAGAAACACTCTAAAACTCTCAAGGCCTCGTCTTTGAACCAGTTTCTGTTTTTATTTTTTATAATGAAGGAAGATGGATATATCTTGGCTATATTGATTGCTATATCTATTTGGTAGTGATGTATCGAACGAGCATGTTCACTAATTTATTGTTTTTCCTTTTTTGATAACTTGCAGATTTTGTCTTAGTTGCTGCTGTATACACATTGGAAAAGCAGCTTCTGTTTGCGATATTTAAACATTCTAGCTATTATCTGCACATATAGGCAGTGTGTTACACCTGCTTTTATTCATACGATAGCATCTGAACATCTGACAAGTCGAGCAAAACTCATTTTCTTAAATGGTAATGGTTGCTTCTCATATGCTGGTGTCTTGAAATGCATAATCCCATTTCACAGACACATTTCATGCATATTGCTCATATTAAAGTGAGATGTTGTCCTTTTTTTAACATAACGTGATCTGTTTATTTGATAAAGTTCAAGGAAATACAGGTGTGGTTTCAGGCTTTTAGTGTAAGGCAGCTCATAAACACAGCCAATTTTAGGACACACGCTTTTAGTCTTATACAGCTGGTCTTTAACAGATGTTCAGATTGCTCCAGGGATTCTAATCTGTCCCTGTGAAACGAAATCATTTGGAAACCAAAGTAAAACATCGGTTTAAAATCTGAAACTACAGTCATTTTTTTTCTTGTCGATTTGTTTACATCCTTGTTTATTAGCAGTTGAAACATTTATTTTTAAAACTGATTTTTACATGAGTAAATACATGATAGAAATATTTCTTTCCTTCCCATATGTCAAATATCATGAACTATGTGGTTCCAGTTTACCTGATATAATAGATTGACTTTTAAAATGCGTTCTTGTATTTTTCTGTTGAGCACATACACTGTGACTACAGTTCAGCAGAAGAGAGCAGAAGTTTATATTCGTTTCTCCCAAACCTTCAAAGTACTATGTGTGACGACTTATCCATCGAGTGTGAAAACACTGTAATGTAATGTAAATTGTGGTGTATACACATACATAAATATTATCAAATGAGAAAAAAGGTTTTCTTAATGGCACAATTTTAAAGAATCGAAGGAAACCCAATTACCAGACACCTGCTGTTTATGACATGGAGAACGATCCTGTGTATGCTGCGAAACAACCGCTTATAATTTGGTTTTTGCATATCCTCCTGGGACCCAAGAATAGACTTTTGTCCACTGTAGTGGACATTATATTTTAGTGAATTTCTCTGACATCATACATGTCACATGACACAACCTGGGTGTCCTGTAAAGAGCACATTCAGGACTTTTCAGAGATACCAAATGTTTGGAGGTTTCACCATGAAAACAACTTCTCCTTGGTCTTTAAAAATGTCTGACATTAATTTAGTGATCAAATGTAGCATTCTTATGGAAATATGATAATATAGTGTAATTATAATATAAATTGGACTACTTTTCAAATTGTATTTCATAAAACAACATCTCAGGAAAATGTTAAGGGGTTTAAAAAAAAAAAAAACTTTCTGTTACAGAACAGGGCATTGATTTCAAACGTGTCCACTGTAGAGGACATCAGGACTAAAATCATGTTTATCAGGCATTCTGGGAGACACAACAAGTGAATATAGAAATAAATTATACATCAATATTCCTATGAAATGTTAGATATTATTATTAAAATGTTGCCAATTATTACTCCAATTATTACCCTTTATTCTTTCATTAAATGTTGCTCCCAGAACACATTAATGTGCAAATTAGATACAGTGTATAGATACATTGCATTGAATGGGAATATTAACTTATGGCCATTTTACCCACATATTGCAAAAAGTAAAATGGAGTATCAATTCATTCCATTATTTCTTTCATAACATAGTTGAGAATAATCTTTATACAAATTTTGGTTGAAAAAATCCTGAAACCCCCAAATGTATTGGTGATTGAAAAAAAAATCCCATTGTTTTTGCCTATACATATAATTTCATGTCATTTTATTTTTTAAACAACTTAGTCCTGGTGTCCACTACAGAGGACATAGCATAACGTATGAATAAAATATTATTTTATATATATGTTTTTTTTTTACCATTTGTTTATTGTGCTCTAAACAGTGTGATGACATGGAAAAAACTAAATTCAAAAAAAAAAAAAAATTCTGGGTCTCAGGAGGATATACTATTGACAGATTTTTTTTTTTTTTTAATGTCTCTAGGGTCTTGGTCTTGTGCAGAACCTATTTCAGAGTTTTATTTTATTCCGTGGTGCATCTTAAACATTGTTGAAAGAGACCTGTCAAACATTTGTGTGTATGAAATCTGAGAATGCATTTAATGTATAAACCAAATGTCACTGTTTTCTATTTTATTCTAAATCTTTGTACATGTACCGTGCAGGTGAAATAAAACTACACTATTACAGTGAAATATATGACTGACTAGTTGTCAATAGAAATGTACATTGTGAGATCATATTAGCAATGACAAAAATACAAACGGATCATAAAATAAAATTTAAATTCCAATTTACACTGTGCTAATAGTTGTACTGATAGTTAATGAGTTAAGGAAGTGAATGGAAATTCATTTTGGTCTGATATTACAGTAGGTCTGTGTCTGTAGAATCATAATTCATTAACATCTTTTGTGAATGTCTGTGATGGACACGGAGTCAGATATGACAGTCTTACAGGAGTGGAAAACTTATTTAGTTTTATTCCAGGATCTTTTAATGAATTATTAAAGCTCTCACCTGAACAAATTCTAGTGCTTAATTTTATTCAATATTTTTTTAACAGCAATCAATCAGGTTTCCACAAGCTTACGATCGTGAGAAACAAAGGTACAATACAAAAGTGCAAAATGTAACAAATAAAACATTTTGAAATGAGGCAAATGTGAAACTGAACAAAAGCAAGTTGCTGGCTAAAATGCACATCAACAACAATGAGATGATAATAACACCACAAACAACTTTACGCAATGGACCACGAACGGCGTGGGTGAACTGAGTGACCTTTTGATGAATGCTCATGATCTCCAAACTATGGAAGCTCGTTTCCGCCACAGAATGAAAAATTTTCATCTCACAATTCTGACTTTTTTCCCTGACAATTGCAAGTTTACACCCCACAATTCTGACTTCTCAGAATTCCATGATATAAAGTCGCAACTGTGTTATAAAGACAGAATTGCGTAACAAAGTTAAAATTTTTGCGAAATTCTGACTTTTTTCTCAGAATTGAGAACGCAATTGGGAGATATAAAGTCGCAATTGTGTGCTTTATAGAGTTTATATCTCACATTCCTGACTCTAAAGTATTTTTTTTCTTAGAATTGGACTTTATAACTCACAACTGCGAGTTTATATCTTAAAAAATATATATTTATATATTTATTAAAAAATGTCAGAATTGCAAGATAAAGTCTCAATTGCGAGAAATAAACTTGAAATTCTAACACGTAATTGTGAGATATAAAGTCACAATTGCGAGAAAAATTCAGAATCTCAATTCTGATTTTATAACATGCAATTGAGAGTTTATATCTCGCAATTCTGAGAAATAAAGTCAGAATTGCGAGATGTAAACTCACAATTGTGAGATTAAAAGTCGCAATTATCTTTTAAAATGTTTTATTCTGTGGCGGAAACAAGCTTCCATACAAAAAAATAAAACTAAAAGATACACCTTGATGCTTCACTCCCAAACATGCCTTCTCAAGTTCACAGGTTTACACATGAGATCTATACCAGGTTTAAAAAGTGTAATAAATTAGACTGTAAAATCAGTTAGAAGAGTGGAGTGGGGTGATATTGCTGGTTGTGAATATCAGAGCACGGCTACACCTCCATCACAGCGGCTGGTGATCATGTTACCGATCTCGGTCCATGTGTCCAGGTGCGGGTCGTAGATTTCCACCGAGTCTACAGTAACCGGTGCTGAAAAGTCCCGGCTAGTGGTCCGACCACCCACCGCATATAACAAACCATTAACAGCCGCCACTGTGACCCCAGCGCGCGGGACGGCCATCGGCGCCACCTCCACCCATTTCTCCTACAGAACAGAGCCATACACCGCATTAAAAGGAGAAGCATTTGCATAAAGGCTCGAGACTTGATAAACCAGACTTCATGGAATCCTAACCTCCTCAAGGCAATACTTTTCCACAGTGTCCAGTGACCCCAGGGCCTCGTTCCAGCCTCCGACAGCGTATATGCAGTTATTGAGACTGGCTACGCCCACGTACGCCCGTCGGGTCACCATGACAGGCAGGGCGCTCCAGCGCCGAGAGATTGGGTCGTACACCTCGGCCGAGCGCAGCTCCGTTCCCTCATCACTGATGCCACCAATCACATAGATGAAGCCTGGGACATTCACACACCATGCTGAAGACTAGAGCTGCATATTTTAAAAGATAATTGCGACTTTTTTAACTCACAATTGCGGGTTTACATTTACATCAGAATTGTGAGATATAAAGTCAGTATTGCGAGATATAAACTGACTTATTCCCTCAGAATTGCGACTTTATATCACGCAATTCTGACTATAAAACTCGCAATTGCGACTTTACAGTATATCACGTAATTCTGAGATAAAAAGTCAGAATTGTGAGATAAAAAGTCGCAATTACCTTTCCTATTTTTTTATTCTGTGGTGGAAACAAGCTTCCAAACTTTAGATTTATGTCCAGTTTGTGAATGTATCATTCTTTTCTATCCGTTCTGTTAGTGGACTTTTTCATTTTAAACAGTTTGTAGGTCACAATTCACATTTTTTTCCATCATCATTTGACATCTCTCCCCTCAAACTCTGAAACATCTGGTCATACAATGTGCAGTGTTTCTGTGACGGACCGAAGCACGTGTTTGGGTTTCTGTTTCTATCCGTAACATTCTAACACTGCATCGTTTCACACACTGTAACACTGTTCACACAGGTTTGGCACCGCAATGAGCAAAAGCTGTGCTAACCCTGCTGTGAAGAACAGAGTGAAAAGCCTTTCTCATGAAAGGAGAGGTATAAAGTAGAAGTGAAGACTCATGCACAATTAAGCAAGGTAAATGTGTTCCCATTTCATTTGATGCTACACTATTTAAAATAAATGTGTTTATGAAACAAAGTGGATGTTCAAGTCAAATATATTAAACCTTTAAAAGTAATTGATTGGTCATCAATATGGTTCAGTTATCCACGAGGGACGTACCTTGCAGCTCACAGCAGCCAAAGTAATATCGAGGAACAGCCAAGCTCCCAATAATCTCCCATTTGTTTTCTGCTGGGTCATATCGTTCCATGGTCTTCCCAATTTCCGAGCCAATCCAGCCT